ACTCTTTCCTTTTGGGCGCTACAGGTTGTCACGCTCAGTATCTTCACTTCTCTCCTTAAAAATGAAAGTCATCAAATTAAAGAATTAAAGACAACCAAATGAGAAAAACCTTTCCAGGTGATACCTGGGCTGAAGATTCAGTCCGATTTGTAGTAGACTACTATACATATGATGAGGATTATAGCATCTTAGTTTCAGAGAAATGGTCTCAGTTCTGCATTAAACAGAAGCCTGTGATGGCATTACTCATCCTTTTCTTGAAGAAAGCTATTCAATCAACATTGTCCCTACAGTAAGTAATTTTTTTACAGATTTCATTCAAGTCATTCAAATTCAAAAAGGAAAAAAAAAATTCAGATGCATAATTTAAGTTCTTAGGGTTTATCTAGACCAAGCCAATCGATCACCCCAAAGACATCCCTGTTCAAAAACTGAACAAATCCTTACATCATTTAAAATGCCTGCAGGTCATTGAAGCTGCTGTCAGATCAGCTTGATTTTGCAATGTCATGAAAGGCCAGGGATGATAGCCCTCCCACAGCTTCACAATCAAAAGTTGAGCAGTTCCAGAGAAGACCACTGGAACAGAAGGCAAAAAGGCAGGAAACACCTGTATATTCAAATTTGAAACTGGTCTTGCCAGCTTTTCTTTAACGGTTAGTTCATGGATTTATTTTGAGTTGGCTTACAGGGAAAGTGGCCAAGAGAGTTGTATAATGAGATCCTGTGGGAGCAAGATATAGAATGTCTCAAAATTACAAATTCATTACATCGTCCGTTTATCTGTTATACACTTACCTGGAGACTCGCTTATGGAAACACTGTGACTAGATGTTCGAGACAAGCTTTTCAACTTTGGTACTATCCTTCGGGGATGAGGAATCATAAACAACTGCTTTGGCGTCTGTCCAAACTCCAAGATTTGTGTCAGCAGAGCTACTTTTTCATTGGGGTCCATAATGCTTTATAAAAACAAGATACTGAATTAAGCCAAGTAGGCAAGTACGTTTTTCCTCCCCTCCCTTGAAAGCATGGACCTGCATGTGCAGCTACTACAGCAATACTCTGTACAAAATGACAAATTCTTACAGAACTGATGTGACAGTCGTATGACAGCTTCATAATTTTGTTGACGTACAATGACCAAAAATATATTTACATATCACAGAATATTATTAGGAGTTGGAAGGGACCTCGAAAGATCATCTAAGCCAGAGCAGGATCACCTAAACTAGACCACACAGGAACGCGTCCAGGTTGGCCTTGA